TGTGCATAAGCAAATGTGGTGAAGAAAGCTGATGGTGCCTGGCTATCAAAAGTTATTGCGTCTGGGGTCTTAAAGGCTTGAAGATAAACAAGCGGCCATCTAGCTCGGAAGCAACGGGGCCCGCATGGAAGAAGCACACCAGCCTGTGTGACCATGAGTTGTCGAAGGAATCAGGTATCAAGCATCAAAGAACAAAAAATCATATCACTGGAAATGAGGGTGAGTGCGGAGTGGAGACTCAGGGCCCATCGGTAGGCAACTGGACACCCCCTTACTGAAGGGCTGTGAGGAGGAAATGAGCCAGTCACGGTACCGGGTACAGCAACGATGAAACATATAACTTTCCTCTGGTTCTTAAATGCTTTCTCTCCCCTCACTATCATGGTCCCAATTCTACCTTACAAGTCTGGCTAGACCAGAGGATGCACATTGGTACAGATAGCAACTAAAACACAGGGAGTCCAGGACAGATCACCCCTCCAGGACCAGTGGTGAGAGTGGCTATGGCTGGAGGGGGGAGGGAATGCAGGGTAGAAAGGGGGAACCGATTACAAGAATCTACATATAGCCTCCTCCCTGGGGGATGGACAGCAGAGAAGAGGGCAGGGGGAGATGCTGGACAGTGTAACATAACAAAATAATAATAATCTATGAATTATGAGGAGTTCATGAAGGAGGGGGAACTGGGGAGGGAGGGGGAAAATGAGGAGCCGATATTAAGGGCTCAGGTAGAAGGCAAATGTTTTGAGAATGATGATGGCCACAAATGCACATATGTGCTTGACAGAATGGATGTATGTATGGATTGTGATAAGAATTGTATGCGCCCCCAATAAAATGATTTTTTTAAAAAGAAAAGAAAAAGCAGGCTATATGCTTTGTACAACAAGGAAGATAATATAGAAGAGGACAAATGAAATATGGAGTCCACGGTATAGTCGGTTCATGTTTTTTCCTCACTGCGTCCACTAGAAAGAAAGAGAGGGCTGCAAAGACTCAGGAATAAGTCTTCCGCTCATTGTATAAAAGTCTTAAGTGCACTGGGTACAGGAAAATTGCTGCCGCGTATGTTTACCTGTTTTTCAGCAGAGCGGTGAGGCTCTCAGAATTGAGTTGCTGCATTAAGGACTCTCTCAATGTTGGGAGCATGGACAGCACTGTAACAGAGAGAAAATAAAGGCAGTCACAAGGCTTGTGACTGTCACCACTGAGATATCAATGCACTGTGCTTTAGACTAAAAGATAAAATCAGCAACTGGCAAGAGTTGGGAGGGAAAGGTCAGGGCCAGAGAATTCAAATTATTATTAATACAAATTACTTTCTATGAATAAATTATGTACTTATGTGAAATGAGCAAAATTATAGTACACACTGTGAACAGGGTATGAACAATTACACAACAGAAAAGAAAGATCGGAAAAGATTATTCCCAAGTATTAAAAGTAGCGATCTTTGAATTGTAGATTGTAGATGGGCTTTCTCACCCCCATTTTCTCCAATTTCCTTACCATAAATGTTTATTTGTTATGTAATAAAAATGATCAAAACCAATGTCTTTCTTAGTTTTCCCCTTTGATTGCTATTTTGTTTCTACTTTTAGAAAAAGGCGATTGCTTAAAAACTACAAAGCAACAAGCATTATTACAACCAAGATAAAAAGCCTATCAGGCTAGGATTTAAGAACTACAGAGTTCTAATTCTGGTGTTGCTAATGGCTATTGCATGTCCTTAACTCCTAGGAATAATGTTCAGATACAATGGAATGTTTTATTAAAATATAAGAGTGTGTGCAATTTATAAACCCACTGTCATCCACTTCTGATTCATAGGAACTCTATAGGAAAAAGTAGCCCCTTTGGGTTTCCAAGACTAAATCTTTAAGGGAGAGAAAACCATGCTTTTCTCCCGTGGAGTAGCTGGTGGGTTTGAACTGCTGACTTTGCAGTTAGCAGCCTAGCACGTACCCTGTACCACCAAATCACCTACACCTCATACACCCTGTGTAACTTGTAGGAGTTCCTTTATTTATTGGCTCTATATAGGGTATATATAGAAATGCACCTATAAATTGAAAAGACATTCTTAATACTAAATTAGTAACAATAACAAAATGAAAGCATATTCAATGATCAGAAACGCCACATTATGTATACGAAAATTTTCGCGTATGATTCCTAGTTCTTGACTCGACGTGTCTATTCATTACAAAATCGGAGGGTTAAGCATTGGGTTACTAACCTCAAGACCAGTAGTTCAAACCCACATTACTCCACAGGATAAAGATGCGGATGTTTGTTCACATAAAGACTTACAGTTTTGGAAACCCTATAGTGCAATCCTATTCTGTCCTATAGGGTTACTGTGGGTAAGAATTAACTAGATGGCAGTGGGTCGGTGGGTTGGTAGCCTAATCTAGACATCTGGTCAATGTTACATTCTGTGGGTTGAGCGAATTGGCACAAGTCTTAGGTTTAAACTACTTGTATTATTTAGAGGAGCCCTGGTGGCATAGTGGGTATCCACTGGGCTGTAATCTATCTAACAAGGTCAACAGTTCAAAACCCCCAGTTGCTCCATGGGAGAATGATAGGGTTTTCTACTCTCATGAAGAAGTACAGTCTCACTCACAGGGGCAGTTCTACCCTGCCCTATAGGGTCTCTATGAGTCAGCATTGACTTGATGGTAGTGAGTGGTATTATTTAGACCACAACATAATATAGTAGCAGTTCAGAGCCAATGTCAAGAGATGGCATAGGAATAGTGTACTTTGTGTATATCTAGCCCAAATACCAAGTTATCTCATAAGGAAAAGCAAAGATTAGAGTCCTTGCATTCAGAAAGTGGGCATAGTAGGGATTATATAATCCATAGTAGTTTAAGGATTATATAATGTAATGACATAGTTTGGTAGGATACTTCCATAATTCTCCTGAGAGATAACAGTTTACTTTCCATTTCTGACTATTCAGGCAAAGACAAGAGTACTCTTTCCTACTAACCATCTCTACTACTACTGAACAAATACATTCTGTCTGTAGAAATAGTGGACAACAGCATTCAGGTCTTCCTTTAGCTAACCTTCCTCTGAATCTCTTGATCGAGAAAATGGGACATATTAACTATTAATAGAGTCCTTTCAGCTGAAAGAGAATTCTACTTCTAAAATAGATCATGGAAAACCCACCTTTATAAAAAAATTCAAAATCAATTATTATTAAGGAGACTGTTAGAGAAAGGATCAAGCTTTAAATAATAAAGCAAAACAGGTTTGACATGGATTTGAGAATTGGTTCTTCAGGGAGTTACACAAAGTGGAACATGTTCCCTTTAAATTATGGGCAAGCAGAATTACAGCCATTTAAAAAAATAGTTTTCTTGGCATATATATCATATACTTTAGGGCCATTCTTATAGTAAGTTTCCAGTTCTGTGGGATGACTTAGTAGGCTGTGTGTTAAGATGCTAACTGTGAAGTTGGCAGTTCGAAACCACTAGTGCCTCTGTAGGAGAAAGATAAAGTGTTCTCTTCCTATAAATGATCTCAAAAACCCACACGGGCAGTTCTAACTATAGGATTGCTATAAGTCAGAATTGCCTCGAGGACAGTGTTTTGTTGTTGTTTATATGCTAAAAATGCTTTACTGTATCTGAAAATGTTTATTAAATGCTTTTTATACATAGACAGGTATATTACTCATATATACTAGATACCGTATACACTCGAGTATAAGCCGACCCGAATATCAGCCGAGTATAAGCTGACCCGAATATCAGCCAAGGTATCTAATTTTACCACAAAAACTGCATTAAAAATGTGCTGAAAAAACTCGGCTTATACATGAGTATATACGGTATGTTAGATTTGATCTGTACCTAATGTTTCCAACTTATGTACAAATTTAACTTAAAGACAGCCTTAGGAACAGAACTCATTCGTAATCTGGGGATTGCCTATAAAGGAGATTAAAGAAGCAAGCAGAAGGAGCAGAGAAGGGTGTGAGAGGCATCAAGCCACATGCAGATCGCCCAGGAGCAGAAACTCCAAAGACAGAAGGACGGTCTTCCAGAGCCAACAGAGAGACAAAGAGAAAGTCTTCCTCGATAACAGCACTCTGAATTTAGATTTCTATCGTCCTGAAGCGTGAGGAAATAAGTGCAGGTGTCTGTTTGCTCAAGCCACCCTCTTGAGTCAGTTGTTACAGCGGCACGGGGTCGCTTTGGTCTGCATTACCTCCGCTGCTGGTGAGTTTGTGCTTGTTTTGCAGATCACCGCAAGCAGGCCCACCGGGACCAGGCCACTGCCTGTAAGCCACTGCTCTCCCTGTGTTCCCTCCACTGGGCGAAGGGGCCTCTCTGGTGGATCTGGAATATGCTGAGCTTATTTTTCTTCGCATGTCACCTCCTCAGAGACCTAACTTGGCTGTCCCCCTGGCTGTATTCCCTGTATCAGTCATGGCTGTCAAAAGCCACTGATCTGTCACGTGTCATCCTTTTCTCTCACTAGACTACATACAATCTCCAAAGCGCAGGGGTTTTGCTTCAATTATTCACTTCTTGTTTTCACAGTGCTAAGCACCACAACTACCTGCTGAATGAATGAAATGAATAAACAAGCATTTAATATTAAGTTTATTTTATAAATCACTATTCAAATGATGTATTTCAGTGAATGAATGTAAGTACTTGCTAGGTTTACCATTCGTTCTTAGTCTTTTTCTATAAAGGTGATCCAGGAGGTATGCAAACCCAAGCAAACATCAAGGAGAGATAGAAATGTATAACTGTTTCTCTTTGTCTTACCGGTCATATTACATGTCCTCTGGTTACTCTCAAAATGATATTGTCGTCTTGCTTGAGCAATGTATTCTGCAGCCTCCCTTTCTTGTATTTCTCTGATTTTCTTCTGTCCATATTTTCCCAGGATATATACTCCTACAATCAGTATGAAACACGTTAGTATATTAATCCCACTAAGTGTTACACATGCCAAGTAGTATGTTTAATTTGCTGTATCCAATGATAAGGCTTATGCTAATGAAAAGTTTTAAAAGTTACCTAGAAAAGGAGGTGTATTCATTGGGCTGCTAACCGCAAAGTCAGCAGTTCAAAACCATCAGCTGATCCTCAGGAAAAAGATGAGGCTTTCTAATCCCATAAAGATTTACTTATGGTCTTGGAAACTTGCAAGGGCAGTTCTACTCTGCCTTATAGTGTCACTACGAGTCAGAATTGACTCTATGGTACTGAACTTGTTTTTGTTTGTTTGTTTTTCCAAGAAGAAGATAATAAGAAGGAAAAAGAGAGCAGCATTACAAGTCCACAGAGAAGGAAATGATGGGCAAATAGGGATTGGGTGGGAAGGAAAGGAATTAGTCTGGCATTGTCTTTAAGAGTGAACAGGACCAGCAATAGGAAATTGCTTAAATAAATTATGGCCTGGACATGTAGTAAATTCTTATGCAATTTGCCGCAGTTACACACTCGTCTGTTAATTTGAGTGAAGGGATGGAGTCTATCCTATCAATCAGGCCATAGCCAATCATGTCTGTGTGGGCATGGCCTTCTCCTGAGGATTCTGGGAACTCCCGTCTTCCTCCCTGGAGGGGAGACACACCTTCTCTCTGCTTTGTCTTCCTACTGACAAGCCACAAGGAGCTATGTTGATGGCAGCTAGAACCCTGGAGCAGAGAGGAGACACATGGAGACCCATGCCAGTGCTGAGATGCTTCCACCACCACTGGATCCACAAGACTTTCCACCCACTGGCCAGTGATCTTCCTGCATTTGGAATCATTGCATGTGTTGCATGAGTCTGAAGAGGAATTTATAGACTGGTGTGGGACATATGGGCTATATTGGACTTTTGGACTTGATCTGTACTGGGCTGGGGTGTTTCTTAATATACAATTACTCTTTGATATAAAGTTCTCTCTTACACATATATAAGTATCAATGGATTTACTTCTCGAGTCTAATGAGACTAACACATTATGGTACCAGGAATGGGGTACTAGAGAAACAAATCATGAAGATGGAGAGTGGATGCTTGTTTGACCTCTCCCTGATGGTGGTTGCTCTTTTTTGGCTAGCCAGAGGTCAGATATGATGAAGCAGTTTACTGCGGTTTCCTGAAATATGGGAAATTAAAGTTTTTGATTATTTTCTTTGGTTGTTCCTTTTTGAAATGGTGAAAATGAACGTGATTGATGTATATTTTGAACTCAGGGGGAGAAATTCCTCTTTGAACTTTTTCTCAGAGACCATGCTGCTTAGTGAAAATGGCTGACAAAAGGCCCTGCCCCTGGCTTGATTCAGTCAGAGGCCTAAGGCCATACTGTGTATCAGCAGAATAGTTAAGATAAAGATTAAATAAGATAGATAAGGATTAAACTTGACTATTTTAAGATTTGAGTTTAGGATCTGGCTCTACTAGGTATATACTATTTTCTTCTGCCTATTGTTATTGATATAGTGATTGATAGAAATGATTATTGAGGAGTATGAAGAACTTGTAAGCCCACTTGCCTTCTGCCATTAATTTGAATCTTTAAATGGGTTAGGACAGCCTACAAAGAAGGGTCTGAAAGGATAAGACCCACTCAGTCCTTTGGAGTATTCAGGATATTTGTATTCTGAGAGACTTGCCTAGGGGGCTGTTGACAGACTGAAGTAAAAGGGAACTCTGGCTTTTTGAATTTTAAACTACTGGTTTGTGCCTGAGGCTGGAAAAATTTGGAGCCTGTGGCAAGCTGAAATCCTTGCTAGGTGACCACGTGGATCCACCTGTTGAGTGGAAGAGAGAAAAACACAGCAATAAAGAGACGCAGTTGAGTCTTGCAATTGACACTCATGAATCTGGTTCACAGGGACTAGAGAATATGAGAGAGGGTTGACTGGTCTGAAGTTCATGACCTAGCACAAGAGGGCTAGGGTTGTTGAGAATTTGTGATGAGGCACATGGTTGAAAGGCAAGGCAGCCAGTGAGCACCCTGAGGAGGCTAAGCGAGGTGGCCCATATTGAGGTGACCAGAACCCGACCAGATGAAGAGAAGATATTTGAGCCTCTGAACTGACACATAGTGCTGATGACTTATGGACGGCCTATCCTGATTTGACTTTGCTTATGGATGCAGACTCACAAAATTCCAACTGGAATGAAGATTCTTGACATCGAAGAATATGATTATTTCCTCAGAGTACTGGGTTGATGTAAGTGGGCAGAATAGAAATTGGATACTCAAAATGGGGAGGATAAAGGCATGAAGTGGCTGGCTTACAAATGTTCATAGGTGGGGAATATATTCATAGGATTATAGGAAGTGTTCAGTTAACTGCAAGTGTAGGTATAGAATATTGTTTTGTTCACTTCTAGAATATTATGTTTAAGTGGGGCTGGCACATATTGTATTTTAGCTTTATCCTCTTTGGTAGGGATATTATTTTATTAATGTTTTGTTTAAAAATTATATATGGCTAGAGAGTTGTGTGAAAGTGTCAAGTTGACACAGGTATTAAAAACCACATGGTTTAATAGTTAATAAGTCAGGGAAATGTCTGTGTCATACCAAATATCATGTGTCAGATGATAAAATAAGATCTTCAAGGTTTTGTGCTTTAATGTAAACAGTTATGCAGAAAAATAGGTAAGTCTTCACTTCTATCATAAATAATGATCATTGTGAAATGGTGGGATAGCAGGTGATTTCCCCCTTCTTTGTGTTTATTTCTTTATATTTTTAATAATTTCTTCAATGAGCATATTTTTGAAAATATAAGATACATTATTTAAAATAGAAGTGAAAGAAAGGTAGTCAGGCAGACACTTGTTCCTTCATTCACGTGTTAGAAGATGTTCTTGAGAGAAGGAGAGCGAGAACAACTGAAACTATTAAAAAACTAGTAACTCAGGTGGAAAAGGAAGGGAAGAAGGTAGAGAAAGCCCCAAGTTATAGCACCAAAGTATAAAAACAGACAAAAGGGGGTGTCCTGTAGTCTGTAATTTACATGGAAACCTTTCAGCATGAGACAGTATAATATAAATGTGGGCATTTGGGTGTATACCTTAGGGGCAGTTAGTTGGCTGACCTGGAAATATCAACAGACCAAAGTCCTTGGTTAGTTAATATATGATCAAAGCCATATTTCCAGACAGAAAGGTTTCATCTCATTTCTGTGATCAGTATCACATGTTGCTGACTTCTGCATAATGAATGTCAGACATGGCTTTTCCTAGATTGAATTAGGAGTGTTCATGATACTGTATTAACATTTTACTAACATGCCGATGAACCAAAATATAAGAATCTTTAAGATACCTTTCACCCCAGGAATGGTTTAGCTTTGCGCCTTCAGCTGCTACGCGCAAATGAGGTATCCAGGTGGCCAGCTAGATCTGACCGCTGGAATCCTGCTGCATTTGCTTCAGGTAAATCTTTATGCATGGTTCTGTTGCAACACCACATAAGGGCAGTGTCCTGAGACTTAAATGAGCTTACAGAACAGGCTGTACAACGGTTTGTTTAAGCTATTTGATAATAGATATTCTCATGGGTGGCAGGATTTGGATTCATTTATAACTCAAAGGAAGGTTGCAAGGCAGGAGATAATCCTCACCTACTTTGACCATGTGTGGCTCCCAGTGTCAACTACAAAGACCCTAAGAAACGGGCACGACCTAATTGACTGGGTTTGGTCTGTTTGCTGGTAGCGAGGGGGCAGCCCTCTAGGGACTGCAAAACAAACACATGTTCTGAATTATTTTCATTCACAAAGTCAGGATGGATTAATTAGTGAGATGCTATATAGTCTCAAACATAATAGTTTAGGAAAAGGGTGTGTGCTTCAAACCAAAACCCCAAACCAAATGCACTGTCATTGAGATGATACTGACTGATAGTGACCAGATAGGACAGGGTAGAACTACCCCGGTGAGTTTCTGAGACTAAGCCTAGTGGTGCAGTGGGTATGCTTTGAGCTGCAATCCTCAAAGTCTGCAGTTTGAAACCACAGGAGCTCTGCAGGAGAACCGTGCTATTTACTCCTGTAGAGTTACACCCTCGGAAACCCACAGAGGCAGTTCTACCCTGTCCAATAGGGTCACCATGAGCCAGAATTGATGGATGGCAGTGAGTTTCGTTTGGTTTAACTCTTTACATGAGTAGAAAGCCTCTTCTTTTTCCCCCGAGAAGCAGGTGGTGGTTTCGAACCACCACTTTGCATTCAGCAGCTCAATGTCTAACCACTAGGCCTCCAGGGCGCCTTAATTACCTGTAAATAAGCATGATTTGGGGCCTATGTTCCTATGCAAGTGAAAGTGTTATGATTATGTTTAAAGAGCAAGTACAATTTCAAGTGGATTCACCTCTCTCTCTCTCTCTTTTTGTTTTTTGCTTTGGTAATTCATCCTGCATCCCAAAATGGCGCAGAAACTTTCACAAAGGTACTCCTTGGGAGAGCACAGTATCATTCACAGCTAGTGCAAAATGATTAACTTCTATCTTACTTTACACAACTAGAAAACTAAATTATATGTAAAAGTATTTCTCAAATTTATACTTCATACTGAAATAACACCCTTTGCATAGCTAGGGTGTTATTTTTCTGAAATCTGAGCAACGTTGATTGGTATGTGCACTTCCCTGGGGGCAAGGACTACCACTTTCATCAGATGCTCAAAAGTGTTTAATTAACAAAAAAAACAAACAAACACCTGGAACTGTTGTATTTAGAAGAATGTAGTATATTCCAATTAAAGAACAGAAAAATGAATTAAGCCTAAATCCCACAATGATTATTTTTCTTGAGTTAGTACAGAAAGAAATTCCTATCATACATTCTCACTTTGTCAGGTGTGGCTTCCTAGCAGATATGAGGGCAGAGACTGGACTAATTAAAACAGGAGTTCAGGGCTGTGTGCACCTGACTATTAGCCT